CTCCTTGCCTGGCAGGTGAATAGCCACAAGATGAAAATTATAAGAAGCAGAAAGCCAGAACAACTCGCGCAAAAAAGTCATCAAAAGTTTGTTCTTAGACGTACACTTACTGATACAACTTACAGTTGATGAATTATCACAAAAAATATGTACACGCCTATTTTTCTAACACTTAGCCCATCGCTTGGCCGCCAAAGCCACAGCAAATGCCTCTTGCTCATTTATATGCAAAGATTGCGCAAATGGGAAATCCTCTTTCCAATTAACATAAAACCAATCTGTACCAAAATTACCCCCTGCACCTGTTTTGCAAGCATCAGTATATACTGAGGTGACAGGATTAGTGTTTAGTAAGAGGGATTTTCCATTAAAAGTGGACATAAAATTGTACCACCAATGGATATCATGCAAGATATCACCGCATAAGCGCATTTTGTGCCAGTCATGCTTAAGCTTCATAATGCCATCAATGATTCTCTGAAGAAAAACTCTTCCGCCGTGAACCACTAAAGAAGCCCAATATAGTTTTCCCGCAAGGGACTGCAATTGTTTCTTTGAAACATGCTTACGCTGCTTAAAATCTGCTAATTCTGCCCTTAGCTGCTCTAGTTTTGTCAAAGGTAATCTTGATTCCAATGTTGTGCAGTCTATCTCCACACCTAAAAATACTAATTTCTGGCAAGGGTCAAAGACCTTGGACCAACTTATTGCAAAGCCTAACTTGCGCAGCAAATCAATCAAGACTCTTAGGCCATGTGCACAACGCTGTTTAGTGCGTTCGCAGATGAAGAAATCATCTAAATATGCAATAACAGTAAAGCCTCTGCTTGACATCATGCGGCCTATGAAAGTCTATGAAAAATACCAGGTGCTAATTTTGAGCCATTATAAGGGCAATTTTTTATCAATAAAGGTATGGGGTTGACCGTCAGGGAAAGTCCATTGTAAACCTGTTACCTGTTGACTACAGCGACTGATGCCAACAGATCTATAAGCAGATTTCAAATCGACTTTAGCCATGAAACAATTTTTTGTGACTAATTTTGCTGCATCATCAACAGATTGAAACTTTTGTTTTTCCATATCCACAGCAAAATCATTAACAGCTGACCCAAGTGGTCTGCTACAATCATGGATTATTCTTACACCTCCATCAGGTTTTGGATTGACACCTAAAGGACTGATAATTTTGGGTGTAGATTCAGTAAACTCATAATTCCCATTTTCAATTTCAGTTAAAATCTGTTGATGAGCTTTTTCATATAACGGACTTGATGGAAAAGCTGATGGGTGATTTTTTGCTGATATGTTTATTAAAGCCAAATCATTTTGAACATTATGTCAAAGCCATTTTTTACACCATGTAAAAGAAAATCCTTATCAAAATCATTTTTTAATTCTTCTTGCCAAACATTAAAATCTAGGTCACGCACAGGCTTTACCTTTATACCCAGTTTTTTGGATGGGCAAAGGATTGATGATGGGCCCACACCCCTGGATGGAACAAATATGCGCAAAACGACAGCTTTGTAATGTGCAACCTTTCCTACTGTTATACTTTCTGCAGATATCTAGACCTTCTGCAGAGTGTGAGGTATACTTTACATTGTCCTGCTGTTTACTAGCAAACTTTGCTGGACCAGATGTCTGAGGTTTAGTGTACACGGCTTTTGGCCGAAGGTTCACAGACTGCAAATGAGGAATGTCAGTGCCCCACCTAAAATTGTGTTGTTTTTGGAGTCTACGGTATTCCCTATCAAAAAACAGCACTGACACAAATTCACAAGATGACACCAAGTGGTAAAATCTCATGGTATATGACAAATAATCAAGCACCTGTGTCTGTGTCAGTTCACATGTGCTTAGCAATTTGTACATGATGGACAAATTTGCCCTAGACCACTGACACAGAGACAGGGATTCAAGTTTCAGTCTTAAAGGTCCCAATTTAAACACAAGTTCCCCCCCCTGATGAATCCGAAATTAAGCGTTCCTCAGGCATGCTGGTCCCCCTATATCATATGAAACAAAATCCGAATATCATAAAAATTAATTTTAAAGTCTATATTTGAAGATTTGACTCGTATTCCAATACGTATTGTGTCTTAATAATCTATTTATATAAAAAAGTTCCAATTATTTAAACAAATAATAACTGCTAACATTTCAAATTTTAATCTAATAATCTTAACTTTATTATAAAAATAAGGAGATGTGGTATGATTGGCAATGAGACAAATATCTACCAAAGTTCAAATAAAGTGGATGTAAGCAGTTATAGGCAACCGTACAACCTTCAACGATGAGAAAAACCCATACTGTACAGTCGCTATAAAAGTCCTTGACATGAAAAAGATGAAATAATTCAATGGAGAAAACCTGCGGCCTAATTTATAACAAAACAATTTACAAATATGACAGATGTGAACCAACGACAACCACTGAACTACAGGCTCCTGTCTTGGGACAGGCACATAAAGAATGTTGCGAGGTTAAAAATATTTGTGAGCACTTCCCCCTCCCCCCGACCTGGGACAGTGGTGTAACAGCACAACATATGAACAAACTATAAAAATCAGTTGAAAAAGGCTTAACTCATCAGATCGTTACAATGAAAAAACATTAAACAAAAACACAGATAGGATGTGGCATGGTATATGATTCCATCCCTCATCAGGACCTGATGATCAGGTAAGTACATTAATGTGTCTTTTATATTATAGAAATTTGTGCAAAAGGAGAACAATTGTAATGCATTATATGCTGATATGCATATTATTTTTTGTGAAAATTGGCAAATAAATTTTAGAATTATCTTTCTGTGCCAATTATTGGATTAACGAAATTGACATATAGGTATCATATGTGCTATATCAAGTTGATTCTGGATGTCAAATTTGGAGTCAAAATTAATTTGGTAATAAAATCATATAATTTGAGAAACAGCTTTTTGTACTTGGGTTTTAATGAAAATATACTGTGGCCAAAATAAACTATATAAATTTAAAGCAGGGGTGGGGAATTGACTTAAAAAGTTTTTGTCTCACCTTGATGGAGTCAAAAAGCGAGACATAGGTATGCTGTTTCCGGCGTCGGCGGCGTCACCAATGTATTAGTTTGTGATTAGGTCTAGTTTATGGGGAACCACTAGTGGTAGGTGAATGATATTTGGTATGCAGACTTGTATTAGCATTGACACATCTCATTTCCATGGAGATTATTTGGCCCCGCCCCTCAGTCATGGTCTATTGACTTTGAAACTTTTGCTTAGTTTACATGTATTAGTTTGTGACTAGGTCAGTTTATGGGGAACCACTAGTGGTAGGTCAATGATATTTGGTATGCAGTTGTATAAGCATTGGTATATCTCATTTCCATTGAGATTATTTGGTCCCGCCCCCTCATTCATGGTTTATTGACTTTGAAACTTTTGCTTAGTTTACATGTATTAGTTTGTGATTATAGGTCAGTTTATGGGAACCACTAGTGGTAGGTCAATGATATTTGGTATGCAGTTGTATAAACATTGGCATATCTCATTCCATGGAGATTATTTGGCCACGCCCCCTCAGTCATGGTCTATTGACTTTGGAACATTTGCTTCGTTTACATGTATTAGTTTGTGATTAGGTCAGTTTAAGATGAACCACTAATGTTAAGTCAATGATATTTGGTATGCAAATGTATTTGCATTTGCAAGTTTCATTTCCATGGAGATTATATAACCCCACACCCTGATTATGGTTCATTGACTGAAACATTTACATAGTTTACAAGTTAATGTTTGTGTTTAGGTTTGTTTAAAGGGAACGACTTGTGAGATTTCAGTGGTATTTGGTATACAGTTGTATTAGTATTGGTACATCTCATTTCCATGGAGATTGTTTAGCCCTGTACCTTCAAGTCATGGTTCATTGACTTTGAATATTTGTATACAACATACATATTAAAGTATAGCTATTTTAATTTCAACATTTGCATTATATTAATAACAAATAGGCGAGACATATCTCTGTGTTAACAGTTTATTAAGTTGATATAAATAAAAAAAAGAACTTTTTAAAAATATCTATATTGGAATCTAATGATGTCTTTCTGTCAGTCTAGACAAATTTCTACTAAACCCAAAGAATTAGTTTAAGCGAAATTTCACATATTTTTTATATTGTTATGTACTTGTGCATCTCCAATTTTACATTTTCATCAGAATGACTTCTTGGATTTCCCTAACAAAATCATGGACTTCACCTTTTTATATTATAGAGGATGCACATCCTTCATAATTCCTATGCCAGAGATTATTGATGACATAATGACAATTTGTGCACCTCTTAAATTTATACCTGTTTTCCTAAAGAAGATAGTAGGTCTAGTACTCTAGACTCTGTACATCTGTCCTTCCAGAAAACTTTATTGTATCTCTGATCTATTCATGCTCGAACATCTTACCTATCTCTTGACAATGTCATTTAACTGTTATTTTATTTTGGTGGCTACTTGCATTAAATTTTCCCAACTAAAAGTACTCGAACACTTTCAATCGAACTGCTGAAGTTTCGGATCATTGTCTGATTGGTATCTCTTGACTATTTTTATGCGTCTGCACCATCTTATGACCTCAAATCGAGTGACAATGAGACCCAGAGTGAGTGTGCTATCTTATATATTCGAGGTACCGAAGGAGGAACTTGGAATAATGACAGAATAAAGATTTCCTTTTCCTTAAATTTCTGATAGGATATAGTCATATATTATAATAACATGTTTGCTATTAAAATGCATTTATCATCCTGTGACCTGCCTTGTTTATACACCATAGATGATAGAGTTCTTGACATATATATCAAGTCTTTTTCAATTTATTGTTTTAAAAATGCTTAACACCATGGGGATTAAATTGAACCATATGTATAATAACAAGGTCTATGTCACAATATGACAAGGTGAGGTTAGTACCCTTGGATATCTTATCTTAATGGAACATTGTATATTGTTTTCAGGATCAAAATATAACAAAACACCTAACATCCATTGAAAATCCAAAAAAGAATGGATCATGGTTTGAAACCAGAATCAAATTAAATCTTAAACTGACTAAAGAAGACAATAACAAAACATTTATGCTTTTGTTCAGAGAAAATATTATAATCAAGGAAATCATTAATACAACTTTATGCAGAGGTATGTGAGTTTTTATTTACCTTAAGCTTTCAGGAAGGGTCCATTGGATTTTAGCAAGTCTCATGTCATTCTATCTGATTTTGTAATGTTTGGTCACATCTTTCACTTTCTCAAGTAAGCTTCAATATAATCTTAATAATTATGAAGACTCAAACCACCTTGTGTGATATAAAAAAAATAAATATTTTTTGTTTGTTTATACCAAACGAAAGCAGTGACCTTCAAGTTTTGCATGAAGCTTCATGCTTTTTGTTAAAAATATGATGATCAATAATCCTTGCCTTTCATGTAAATTATTAAATCCTATCATATTTACAGATTTTCAGTTTAATAAAATATATGACATATTTGTGTTGTTAATAATTTGAATCCAAAAACATAATTTCAAACAAAAAACTTTAACAGGCAGAAATATGTCTGGTGATGTGAGAGCAGTATCATTTCAAGGGAAATCAATTATATGCTATATGCAGAAAAATTGGCATAAAGATAGAAGATTTTAATTCATAGTAGAATAAGCTTTAAAATATTTATATCAGTGACTCATATTATAGTAAGTCATTATTAAGTCTCCCAAACGAAGTTTGGGAAGACTTATTGTTTTTGCTCAGTTCTTATTATTATTATTATTCTTCTTCTTCTTCTTCTTCTTCTTCTTCTTCTTCTTCTTCTTCTTCCGCCGCTTTTAAATTTGAACTTGTCCGCACCCGTTCTCCAAAACCGCTTGTCAGATTAACTTAGGGTTTCACAATATGTTAGACTAACATGTCTAGTGGTGCAATCAGGGTTTTGTTTGTGCAATGGGGTTTATAAAGGGGTACTTTGAGGGGCAAAAAGAAAAGAGGGTTTTACTATAGAACCCTATGGGATTTTATTTTTTAAAATTTTCAAATGATTATCAATTGAAAACCGTTCGTGATAGACACAATCTTTTTAATTGAAAATGTTCTAAATGATAAAGCCCATTAAATGCAATACAGGGTTAGTCCCCAGGGGTCACCCCCACCCCCTGCCATTTAAGAAAGTTCTAATACCTTGTAAGTGGTCAAGATCCCCACCCCTAAACCATATATATTCTGGTTTGTCATGCTAAGATGGTTTGAATGATATACAGGATTAGTCCCCAGGGGTCATCCCGACCCCCTGCCATTTGAGAAAGTTCTAATATCTTGTAAATGGTCGAGATCCCCACCCCTAAACCATATATATTCTGGTTTGTCATGATAAAGCACATCAAATGAAATACAGGGTTAGTCCCCAGGGGTCACCCCCCACCCCCTGCCATTTAAGAAAGTTCTAATATCTTGTAAGTGGTCAAGATCCCCACCCCTAAACCATATATATTCTGGTTTGTCATGCTAAGATGGTTTGAATGATATACAGGGTTAGTCCCCCAGGGGTCATCCCGACCCCCTGCCATTTGAGAAAGTTCTAATATCTTGTAAATGGTTGAGATCCCCACTCCTAAACCATATATATTCTGGTTTGTCATGATAAAGCACATCAATTGTTATACAGGGTTAGTCCCCAGGGGTCACCCCCACCCCCTGCCATTTAAGAAAGTTCTAATATCTTCTAAGTGGTCAAGATCCCCACCCCTAAACCATATATATTCTGGTTTGTCATGCTAAGATGGTTTGAATGATATACAGGGTTAGTCCCCAGGGGTCATCCCGACCCCCTGCCATTTGAGAAAGTTCTAATATCTTGTAAATGGTCGAGATCCCCACCCCTAAACCATATATATTCTGGTTTGTCATGTCTCGAACATTTGAATGACGTATACGGTCCGTCCCCAGGGGTTCCCCCCACCCCCAATGTTCTAATATCTTGTAAATGGTTGAGATCCCCACCCCTAAACCATATATATTCTGGTTTGTCATGCTAAGATGGTTTGAATGATATACAGGATTAGTCCCCAGGGGTCATCCCGACCCCCTGCCATTTGAGAAAGTTCTAATATCTTGTAAATGGTCGAGATCCCCACCCCTAAACCATATATATTCTGGTTTGTCATGATAAAGCACATCAAATGTTATACAGGGTTAGTCCCCAGGGGTCACCCCCACCCCCTGCCATTTAAGAAAGTTCTAATATCTTCTAAGTGGTCAAGATCCCCACCCCTAAACCATATATATTCTGGTTTGTCATGCTAAGATGGTTTGAATGATATACAGGGTTAGTCCCCAGGGGTCATCCCCACCCCCTGCCATTTGAGAAAGTTCTAATATCTTGTAAATGGTCGAGATCCCCACCCCTAAACCATATATATTCCGGTTTGTCATGATAAAGCACATCAAATGAAATACAGGGTTAGACCCCAGGGGTCACCCCACCCCCTGCCATTTAAGAAAGTTCTAATATCTTCTAAGTGGTCAAGATCCCCACCCCTAAACCATATATATTCTGGTTTGTCATGCGAAGATGGTTTGAATGATATACAGGGTTAGTCCCCAGGGGTCATCCTGACCCCCTGCCATTTGAGAAAGTTCTAATGTCTTGTAAATGGTTGAGATCCCCATCCCTAAACCATATATATTCCTATTTGTCATGTCTCGAACATTTGAATGACGTATACGGTCCGTCCCCAGGGGTTCCCCCCACCCCCAATGTTCTAATATCTTGTAAATGGTTGAGATCCCCACCCCTAAACCATATATATTCCTGTTCGTCATGTAATGAACATTTGAATGACGTATAGGGCCAGTCCCCAGGGGTTCCTCCCCACCCCCAATGTTCTAGTATCTTGTAAATGGTCGAGATTCCCACCCCTAAACCATATATATTCAGGTTTGTCATGCCAAGATGATCTGAATGATATACAAGGTTAGTCCCCAGGCATCACTAATGCATATAACTTTACTGGACCAAACCAATTTTCACTGAACGTTGCCCAATGTCAGGCGACCCTGGGAATTACGAATTATGGGAGCTTCGTTTGGGAGACTTCGTAACAGCATCCTGTTACAATCATTTCTTGTTTTGTTTGAAATTCTTGACAAAGACATCTATTAACTGGAGCTGGATTGTAAGTATTATTTTTTATTTCACTGCACTCACTTCAATCATACTAAGTTAACAACCGTTCACATAAGGAATTTGTTAAGATATTTTACCAGTTGTTCAGTTTGTGGGAGAAGAAATCAAACTGCAATTTGGTAAACTGTTTTAGCCATTGCTATTGTGATATCCCAAAGCCCACTGAATAAACCCTATAGTGATCAGTCTGTCCGTCCATCCGTAACAAATTGTGTCCCTTCTAGAGAACCGTTATAATTTCATACTTTATACTTTATATATTAACCAACACCAGAGGGTGTGTCATAATGTTTGAACAACTTCCTAGGTCAAAGGACAAGGTCAAAAACTTTGGTTTTAGTTGACAACCCAATGTCCTATGGTAAAGATCATGTCCGCTCTATATCTTGAGAACTGTTATGATTTCAAAGTTTAACCAACACCAAAGGGTGTGTCATAATGTATGTACAACTTCCTAGGTCAAAGGTCAAGGTCAAAAACTTTGGTTTCAGTTGACAACCCATGTCCTATGGTAAAGGTTGTGTCTGCTTTATATCTTGAGAACTATTATGATTGCAAAGTTTATACTTGACATGTATATTAACCAACACCAGAGAGTGTGTCATAATGTATGAACAGCTGAAGGACGCCTCCGGGTGCGGGAGTTTCTCGCTGCATTGAAGACCCATTGGTGGCCTTCGGCTGTTGTCTGCTCTATGGTTGGGTTGTTGTCTCTTTGACACATTCCCCATTTCCATTCTCAATTTTACAACTTCGTAGGTCAACGGTCAAGGTCAACAACTTTGGTTTCAGTTGACAACCCCATGTTCTATGGTAAAGATACAATTTTTTTACCACACGTTAATCACAGCATGGCCCACAGAGATGGCTCCCATCTCAATGATGTCTTGTTGCTTCACCTTTACTTGTTAATTTGATCAAATTTGTCTTGTGTGTATTCTGTAAACACACAAATATTTTTTTTTTTATAGTGATTAAGATAGAAACACAATGTTGACTGCTGTACCCCTATTTTTGACATTTATACCTATTTTGTTTGTTTGTTTTGTTCACACATTGTTGTCAATCTAATAGAATTTTATGTGACTGGGAGACATAGGGATAACTAACCAGTGGTGTAAACTATTCATATAAACCTTTGTATTTCAGAGGGTAGAAGATCTGGATGATTTATGCTTCATAACTTGTATACATATGCCTTTTTTTACAAGGTTTCTATATGTTCATTGTCCTTGATCTAATTATACCCTGCTTTAAAAAAAGTGGGGTAAACTGTTTTACCTCTGTCTGTCCTTCAGTCCATCCGTCAGTCAGTCCCATGCATATTTTTCGTCGCATCTTTCTCAGGAACTACATCATAAGGATTTCTGAAATTTGGTTTCAGGGTTTATATAAGTCATCTATACTGTGTGATGCTTTTTCAGATTCATCACTCAACAAGATCCTGTTTACTGAACACTTGCATATTTTTACACTATTATATTTGGCCAGGGGTATCATCAGTGAACAGTAGCTCGCAGTTTCACTTGTTTTCATGGTTCAGCAACTAAATAAATTAGATTTGCAGTTTTTTAGTCATGTAAAATTCTCACTTTTCTCTGTGACAAAATATTGAGTGGCTGGTTTAGTCCTCTTTCCTTATAAGCAGTAAGTCAACTATAACTGGTGTATGGAATGATTTTAAGATGTACATGTCTGTCTTATAGGTTTCATCCTTGACCTAATTTTCATGGTTCATAGGTCAATGTTAAGTTAGAAATAGTTCAGAATAAGTCAATAGTATGCATTGATGAAAGTTGATAAATACATGCATGGAGTTTTATTTAAGGGCATACAATACAGTTACAGGGGAGGTAATGACGTTGCTAACGTAAAATGTTATTTTCGCGATGTCAAACTGTGACATATCGGGAAAAGATACATTTTTCGACTGTTTTTTATGATTCAAACTGATTCAACTTGAAAACGAGTACATAGACCCCTCTTTTATAAAATGGCATTAGGTTTGATTACGTATGAAGATTATTTGCACCAATTTTAATAAAAAAGTCAACATTGAATTTTTTTTAAATTGGATAAATATACCACACAAAATGCCGGTTTTTTCCTAAATTACTGAAACTTTGTTAAAATTTAATTATTTCCAAAAAACTGTTGCACATATTAAGAGCATATTTATGTAAAGAAGATTTTCATAATGTTTCTACAAAAATCCGCTTGTGTTTATCTGTTGGAATAAAAAAGTTAGGTGTGTCTATCCAAAGGATAGAAATGTCCAAGAAACCAAAATCTTGAGTAAATGTCTAAAATTTTGACCCCTTTTATCTCTTTAAGTAGCACATGAAGTTATATCTTTTATTACATATTTGAATTGCTTAGGTGAATAATAGCTGGTATGAAAATTTTCGTAAAAAAATCATCATGTGATCGAAAATGTATCATATGCCCTTAAGTATTGAAGAACAGTAGAAAGTTATGGATTAAGATATTCCTTCATTTTGTTATTCTGACTGCTTGTATTAAAGTAATATGTGTTCTTTGTATAAGGAACATAGTAAATCAAAATACTTTAGTTGTTAAGTATTTAGATGAATTGTCTTTTCTATTTCAGGAAATGAAGACTCATTAAAAAGCCCATGTGGTGATAAAGTGTGTCAAATGCTTCTGCTGTGTTTAGGGTGTTCAGGGGGCCTAGCTGCTGCTTTTTTTTGTATTGTGTACAAGAAAGATTTATTGTGTTTCAAAATAGGTGAGATTGTGATCTAAGTTCAAGGATTGGTCTACAGAAGATATTTTAAGAGCAGTTGCACAGGAATCAAATAAGATGTATTCATGGTCTTAATCATTGGTGTATTGGAAATAAACTGAAAACTAAGTTTACTTCTGGTATTTTTAAAAGTTATATGACTAATTCTGTTGTGATTGGGATTGTTAACCAATATATCTGCAAAATTCCTTGAAATAAGTCCTGTTAACCAGCAAAAAGGGAAGCAGGCATCAATTAAAAGTTGTTTTAATGTTTATTGCGCTGTGAACATGCTTGGGAAAAATACTATGGTGTTTCACAGACAAATCATCCTATTTTATTAAAAAAAAATGTTTCCTCAATTATAAGTTTGTGTCAAAATTTAAAGCACTTATCAAAACTTTTGTAAATTGGTTCAATACATGTCTGTCTTAATTAACATTAGAAGTCCATCACTAGTTAGGGGGATTACAGTCCCCATTCTTACAAATTTGGTCAGTGGGGCTTATTTGAGAACTTTTTATAATTTGTAAAAAAAAAAATCTATGAACAAAATTTTTCTGTAGTAATATGCATGCTTGATAGATAGAAACACATTTGTTTTCCCTATGATTGAATTTTCATGACTATTTCAAATTCAGCTGTATAATCATTATTAAATAAATATTATTTGTTAATGAAAAGTAGTAACATCTTTAGCCTAAAGAAAGAAAATCTGCAGTTGAACTACAAAGGACATCTTAAGAATAAAACTTATTTGAAATTCTCACATTCAATTTTGAAAAGATAATATTTCTACCCATGATTCCAGTTGAAATTGCTGTATCAAAATAATAAGAGCCTAAACAGGTAAACAACCAACACAATTTGACATTGTGATCTCCTAAACCATTCTCTTAGTAAGGAATTGACTTGTATGAGGTAGGTGCTACCTGTGAAAGAGGGTGAAGTCCTTATTTACCATTATACTCTCTGGAATTTAGATATAAAAAATTTCAGGAAATATTATGTTCCTTAAAAATTAGGTACAAGTGTCATTGAAAGGCAACAGCTGGTTACTGTGCATAATTGTTAAAAACGAAAACAGGAACTTTACAATTTTATATTTACTCTTGTAGTTATTGATTTTTCTACTGTAATGAGGACTTTTTTGTCTATATAAGATTTATTGAGCAAATACGACGTAAGTTTAATTTAGTTTTTGTAAATAACATATGTGTTTAAGAATTTTAAAGAAATATGTATTGTATTTAACAGAAACAGATACCAGAGAAGGTGAAAGGGAACCTATGACAACTATGAATACAAATAAGGATACAGATGATAGTTTCCAGAAAAACACAGACTTCTAATCTAACTGATTCTCCATAAAAGTACAATTGCATTCCCTGTATAAGAAGCACCTATGATGAATAATTACAACTTGATACTTTTGTAATACAGATCTACTAATCAGTCTTGTATATGGTTTATCAACTTCCAAACAGTTCACCCTCTGCTGTTCTATGGGTCAATGTGAGATTTTTGTATGCCCCTCCCTCCCCCCCCCCCCCCCCCCCCCCCCCCCCCCCCCCCCCCCCCCTGCTAGGTATCAGGGGCATTTAGTGTTACCTTTATCTGTCCCGTCCGTCTCGTCCGATCTGTATGTCCCCAAAAATTGGTTTCCGTTCTCTAACTTTAGTTTGCCTCAATCAAATGTTATAAAACTTATACACAATGATTATTACCACAAAACACAGATTATTTTGAAATTGGGTGGCATGATTTTTACCGTTCATGGGTTATGTCCCTTTATAAACATAAAAGTTGCTGAACTTTTCGTTTCCATTCTCTAACTTTAGTTTGCCGCAACCAAATGTTATAAAACTAATACACAATGCATTTTACCACCAAACACAGATCAAGTTCGAAATTGGGTGGCGTCACTTTTAACGTTCATGTGTTATGCCCTTTCTAAACATGAAAATTGCTGATTTTTTTGTTTCCTTTCTGTAACTTTAGTTTTCATCAACCAAATGTAATGAAACTTATACATGATGATTATTACCACAAAACACAGATCAGAATTGAAATTGGGTGGTGTCACTTTTACTGTTCTTGAGTTATGCCCTTTTATAGATGGAAAAATTGCTAAATCTGTTGTTTCCGTCCTCTACCTTTAGTTTGCTTAAACCAAGTGTTATAAAACTTATACACAATGCATGTAATCACAAAACAGTCTTAACTACCTGAATCCTGCATCTGTATGTGGAAGTTGACTCCTGCATGTTTACAGGTGTGGGCATCTGTGGCCCATTGACACATTCTCCATTTATTATATATATATTTGTATGTTTGTGTTTTAATTAATTTTTTTATTTATCTTCCCAGTAATTAATGAGGCAAATTAGTGCTCAAATTGTTCTAAATGTTAACTTGACTTTGCCTTCATAGTTATAATAATATTTATTCAGATAAAAGCCATAAATTTTTAAATCTCTGGTTCATATTTGAATGTGGGGTTACCATTATCTTTTTAGCACTTGAATTATTTTTTGTCGAGCCTGCGACTTTTGTCGCAGAAAGCTCGACATAGGGATAGCGATCCGGCGGCGGCGGCGGCGGCGTTAGCTAACTTCTTAAAAGCTTTATATTTTAGAAGATGGAAGACCTGGATGCTTCATACTTTGTATATGGATGCCTCATGTTACGAAGTTTCCGTCAGTCACATGTCCAATGTCCTTGACCTCATATTCATGGTTCAGTGACTACTTGAAAAAAAAGTTCAGATCTTTTGTAATGTTAAATTCTCTCTTATTATAAGTAATAGGATAACTATATTTGGTATGTGCGTACCTTGCAAGGTCCTCATGCCCATCAGACAGTTTTCACTTGACCTCGACCTCATTTCATGGATCAGTGAACAAGGTTAAGTTTTCGTGGTCAAGTCCATATCTCAGATACTATAAGCAATAGGTCTAGTATATTCGGTGTATGGAAGGACTGTAAGGTGTACATGTCCAACTGGCAGGTGTCATCTGACCTTGACCTCATTTTCATGGTTCAGTGGTTATAGATAAGTTTTTGTGTTTTGGTCTGTTTTTCTTATACTGTATGCAATAGGTCTACTATATTTGGTGTATGGAATGATTGTAAGGCGTACATGTCTAGCTGGCAGGTGTCATCTGACCTTGACCTCATTTTCATGGTTCAGTGGTCAAAGTTAAGTTTTTGAGTTTTGGTCTTTCTTTCTAATACTGCATGCAATAGGTCAGCTATATTTGGTGTATGGAATGATTGTAAGGTGTACATGTCTAGCTGGCAGGTGTCATCTTACCTTGACCTCATTTTCATGGTTCAGTGGTCAAAGTTAAGTTTTTGAGTTTTGGTCTTTTTTTCTAATACTATATGCAATAGTTCAACTATATTTGGTGTATGGAAATATTTTATGATCTATATGTCAGTCACGCAGGTTTTATTTGACCTTGACCTCATTTTCAAGGTTCATTGCTCAGTGTTAAGTTTTTGTGTTTTCGTCTGTTTTTCTTAAACTATAAGCAATAGGTCAACTATATTTGTTGTATGGAAGAATTGTTAGCTGTACATGCCTGCCTAGCATGGTTCATCTGACCTTGACCTCATTTTCATGGTTCATTGGTCAATGTTTAGTTTACTTGGTTAATGTTAAGTTTATGTGACAGTTGTAATAAAGCTTTATATTTAGGACTATCAACATAATATCAATGATTAGTAAAGAAGGCGAGACATTTCAGCGTGTGCACTCTTGTTTTCTTTTGTCATGATTATTAAAAACAGATACATGGTTTGTCATACTGTGAATTTATTATATTTTGTGGGATACCAATTTACGTGGATTTTGAGTGTATATGTTAACCATGAATTTAAATGTCCAACGAAATACAAATTTTCTATAGATCTGTATGAAGACTTTGGCTGAACCACAAAATCAAATAGATATAAGAAGATGTGGTATGAGTGCCAATGAGACAACCCTCCATCCAAGTCAAAATTTATAAAAGTAAACCATTATAGGTCAAAGTACGGTCTTCAACACGGAGCCTTGGCTCACACCGAACAGCAAGCTATAAAGGGTTCCAAAAATTACTAGTGTAAAACCATTCAAACGGGAAAACCAACGGTCTAATCTATATAAAAAACGAGAAATGAGAAACACTTATGAACCACATCAACAAACGACAACTACTGAACATCAGATTCCTGACTTAGGACAGGTGCAAACAATTGCAGCGGGTTTAAACGTTTTAATGGTACCAAACCTTCACATACACATTATATCCACAAATATGAATTTTTTTCCAAAAATAAATGAAATCACAGTATATAATGTGCATTGGGCTAATGCTTTTGTTTTGTTTTAAATGTTGCCTTTTAACTTATGAAAAGGTTATATGTAAATTGTTTTTTGCTTGCTGTTATAACATGTGGGTTGGTGTTTATAAAATTTTCATACAAAATGTATAATGATATTGATTCTTTTTTTAAAGATCTCTTAAAGAGCCATATTGTGATGTCTTCTAAAAAGAAGTTATAAGACATTGTTTTTTGCTCTGTTTGTTTCCTTATCATTATTTTTCCATCTTTCTTGTCTCACCTGAACTTGTCCTTGGCAGTTCTCAGAAACTACAAGTTAGGCATACATAAGGTTTTGAATGCTGTGAAAAAAGACATTATATAGCAACATTTTGTTTTTTCTCAGCGGGATTGGAAACCCTTCTTCTGTGATATTGTGGCAACACTGCCTGCTCTGTGTCCAGCTCTAGACCACTCAACTAACTAGGATTTATTAGATATGCTCTTGTTTATAGTCGAGAAGTGCCTTTCCTCATCAGCTATATCTAGGGTTGTAACACGGTACATGATGTATCTTGCAGATTATCTGTTTTTTGTCTGTGTTGGTAAGGATGATAATTGTACCTACCATGCTGTCATGTGAATTTTAATTTTATAATATACTTCTATATATTTATGTACAATATTTGATGAAGTATTTTGCATGGTGTCAGTTAATGGTACTTTGAGGGCCTGTTGAAGGGGAAGATTTAATCTAGAATACTATGAACATTTTCTTTTTAATATAAATAGTATTTTGATGCTTAAATATTATTTGTTTAATAACTGCAAATTTTTGAAAGTTAAAATACATCATTTAAAAAGTTTTTAAAATAGGGTTCCAGAAGGGTAAATATTGCATTATGCCACTCAATAGGGTGTAATTGATTTACAGTATAATGATCAAAGTTAATAATCAGTATAAACCAAAATCAAATCTCAGTTGCTACTAGAAAATGAACTTTTTTGTAGAAATGATTTATAACTTCATTTTTTTTCATTGTCAAGCAATATTACTGAATAGCAGGTCAATAAAGTTGGTTTAGAGTTTTCATGAATAGGAAAATCCTAACTTTGAGCAATATGCTAATTATATTTGGTCTAAAGCTAGAATCATTTTAGATTGAAAAGTGTATTTAAGAATTGAATGCTTCTTTTTGTAAATTCATTGGGGTGTAAAAGCGTTGACCGAAGTACATTTTGTATGAAGCGAGGAAGCGCTTCTTTCTAAAAATGTACGCACGGTCAACGCTTTTACAACCCTATGAAATTACTAAAAGAAGCATTCAATACTTATAATTACATTTTTTCGCTATGATCATGAAAATACGATTACTATCATTTTTTTCTTTTATTTACCTGTGCACTTTATTGTGGAAACGTGTGTCATCATGTATGTTACAATTCATAAAATTCATTTTGAAATGAAGAATGACGCGAGATTGCTGTTAGCCAATCAAAATAACGTATAATAATGAAACATACATCTAATGTAATTATATAGAAATAAAAAGATGTGGTATGAGTGCCAATGAGACAACTCTCCATGCAAGTCATTATGTGTAAAAAGTAAACAATTATAGGTTAAAGTACGGCGTTCAACACAGAGCCTTGGCTCACACCAAACAGCAAGCTATAAAGGGCCCCAAAATGACTATTGTAAAACAATTCAATCAGGAAAGCCAAGAAAAACGAGAAACACTTTTGAACCACATCAACAAACGACAACCACTGAACAACAGGTTTCTGACTTAGGACAGGTGCAAACAAATGCAGCGAGTTTAAACGTTTTTACAGGCGCCAACCTTCACCCTAACCTGTAGTAATAGTAGTGAAACATTATAACATAGAAAGACACACTATAAAATATCAATTGAAATGGCTTCACTCAATCAAAAAGACATATTAACAAAAACAAGTAAACATACACTGAACGAATAAATTTGATCTATGACACAATATAAATACAATATTGAATATGTCCATTTAATCATGATGATGTAATTAATTACCCTGACCTCATTTCCATAGTTCAATGAGTAATAGTAATTAAAATGTTAATCAAATGTTGGTCACATTTTCCTCAGGAAACAAAACATATGGTCCGAGTACACAGTTATTTCGTAGTGCATTTCTTTTAGACAATAAATGAAAATAAAAAAAATCCCACCTGCGCTTTCTCAATAATATTTT